AGTGATGTGAAAAAAGTCCGATTTTGTGGAATAATATCCGCCTCGAACTTTTTTCATAATATATCACGTGATTCACTGTGACTGTCTGTGACCAATCTGACAATGTGGTTTGGGAATGGTTCGAGAACTTTAGGCTCTCGTGTAAGCAACTAGGTTGTCATGGCAACATGTTTTCTACCTTACGCCAGCTGGCGGGGTATTTGAAAGCTCAGAAGTGTTCAAGTTATTGCCGTCAGGTGGATCGACATGTTATTTTTTATTTGATTGCCTATGATCCTGAAGAAATTCAAATCAATATGCGGAAGGAGCCCAAATATTATAAAAATATATCCGAAAAGATGCGAAATTTACACAAGAAACATCAAAATATCCGAAAAATACTCGAAATATTGTAGGATCCGGATATTATTCGCCTCATCAAAGACGATCAGAATATCAGATTCTTATCCGCGCCAATTAATAACACTGAAACTATTTAGTTCGCATAAAACGAAAACAAGTGATCTGTGGAATACGAAACAGTCCCGAGAAAACGCGAACACTTCTTTGTTTCTCTGTTAATTTTGTGAACGCGAACAAACCTTATATGAAAATGAAAACTCTCAACTCATCTTCAGTAGGTCCCGAGTTAGGTCCATTTTTGTATACCGCGAGGTAAACAACAAATGACTGCGGTAAATTCCTAAAGAAGATACTTTTTCGCGGTCGTGAACGAATAAAACAAATAATGCAAACTGGTTCTATCGATTAACGAAGTCTACTTCTTCTTTCTTGTTTCGCGAAGGCATCTAGAGGATGTTCACTTTTGCTTTCAGATTCCCTCATCTGACGATCTATCAGTTGTTAATGTATAGTTAATTCAGGAGAATTAGCAACTTGTCCTAATTCAATTGGATCGACCAGAATGGTTGGAATGGAATCGTTTTATACAGGGGCATAAGGAACATGGAACATGTAAATCCATTTATTTTATGCAAATTCGGCTAAGACATTGAGACTACAATCCCTGGTCCCATGCATATTCCACCTTATTATGATGCACAAAGTAGCAAGAATATCTGTTGAATGGAAGTGATGTTATTTCATCCCACTGTTGAGAATAATCTTGGGAATATTGTTGTTTCATCATATGAATGAATTATATAATAGATAATGAATGATGGTTAAAGGGCGGGTCCAACGGGGGATAGCGTAGATGGGGTGAGGCAGAAATAAACTAATACCCATCAAGCTCCTCAGAGTATACATTAGAGTCATCAAGTTGGATTAGTATATCTATACGTATCTACTGAAGTATTTTTGAAGTGTGTTCAGGCCTCAGACTGGGATGGTAATTCTGGTGAAATTTTCACACACACACACACACACACACACACACACACACACACACATTTTTGAACTATTGAAAGCCTGTATTTTGTATCGTTACCATAACCACTAATCAATTTCTGGAATTTTTTTTCCTACTTCCCGAGGGAAAGAACATGAATTACAGTGGAAAATTTTTGTCGTTTATAGGTGAAATACTTTTACATTTAACTTTAAATTACAACAAATATTGTAAGCGAATATATTCTTGCCCATTTTAGCTAAAAACCTGGGAGATTGAACTATACTATCGACTCTTTTTTTATTATTTCATTCAATACGTGAGCAAATTTCATTGATACTAAATAGTAAATATGGTAAACTTCTATAGTTTCTTGTGAGAAAATACATTTCTACCTATTTTAGTTAAATGAGAAATGGAGCAACTATCGACTTATTTTTTATTATTTTGTGTAACTAAAGCTCGAACTAAAGTAAGTAAACTGTGTTTAATTTAACCTATAACTACACCAATACTACACTATGTCAAGTTCGAGGTCAAGTTCCTTATAACAGAAGATATTTTCACCAACTTTAGCGGAATATAGTATGTGGAGAATTACAGTTTGAGCTACCACTAGCTGCCTTATTGATACTAATATTGATTGCGTAACTAAAGTCGGTATTTTGTTATATCGGAACCCGAACTGGAACCTTTAGCACGATAATAAACTAGGTACCCTCTTTTTTTACTCACCAAACTGAATTTTTATACGCCTCTACACGTGTTTCGCTAACTATGTTAGCATCTTCAGGAGAAGATTGTTTGTGTTTATTTTGTATTTTATATTTAGCGTAATCTTATCCTATAGTAGTTTTTCAATAATTATTCGATGTGAAACTTTCTTAACGAATAACCTCGCGATATAGCATCAATATTCCTGATGTAATAATAATAAAAGCTAATATGAGTGATAATTTCAAATTTCCCTAGAAATTTCCAGAACTGAACTAACGTAAGGAACGAGTTTGCCGTTATAGAATCCCATGTCGATTTTTTAATACATATGGGTATATTCCAGATTTTCGTATATATTCCAACGTAAATTATGTTTCGTTTGTAGGGATATCAAGGTATATCATCCAATCGTCAGTCTACTTTGCATTCAAATCGGTACTTATGGTTTCATCTTTGAATAGGTCAATTTTTTACCACGAAACCATTTCGGACATTTTAAGCACTGTTGCGCTACAGGGGATTGTGTAGCTTTCCTTCTCCTTTCAATTTTTCGAATTCATTGTTCAATTTTGTGAAAAAAAGCATCACCTTCAACCGAGCCTCCATCTGAGCTGGTGAAATCAACAGTTTTCGAGATATTCGACCATACTCGCTAACATAGGAACCCATCATTCGAATAGCAGTTCATTACTCGATTTATTACAAATTTTTATTTCTGATGATGAGTTAAGATAAGATACTTTCTAGTCCTCGTTCTGTAGCTGAACATAAATATTGTTATTTCATTCCGAATTTCATTTAGAACGAAAAAACAAACTTTTTTCAATTTTCTCCTACTAAAGAGTTGAAAACTCGACTAAAAATGATGAAAAATTATTATGCGAACTTCTATTTTGAGTCAAATAACTCGAAAACTATTGATTTTAACTCGCTGGTCGAGAGCGTGCGAAGGCGCTGAGTTCGTATGGGGACTCCCACCGAGCCATAGGTTCGAATCCTTGTTAGCCCATGGATGTTTGTGTTTGTATGTATACCTAACCCCGCCCAATTTCGACTTATGGGGCGTTTGGTCCCAGTGCTGGGACCAATGAGATATGCAACTGCAAAAAAAAAGAAGGCGAGATAAAAGGTTATGCATTTTTTCAACAGAACATGGCATGGAATTCTAAAATTTGCGAATAATCAAAATTTCATCAGTAGAAACACGAATCCGAATTGCTATCGGTATAACATACACATGCGTTACCATGTGAAGGACAACAATTCACTTCATCTTCTGGCCGTCAATGGAGGAAAAAGCAAGGGAAAAAGTGTATCTTAGTAGCGGCAATTTTCCTCTGATGATAAAAACGTCAAATTTGGTTGAGAAAGATCGAAAAATAGGAACAGATAATTATTATGTTAACCCATATAGGGTGGAAACGAGGAAAGAAAGATAATAGGAACTGTAAGAGGAAAAAGAAGACGGCGAGGAGGACAGTACCTATGACATTGCCGTTGCGTCATCATCTGTGGAGTCAGGTGAAAATAATTTTAATAGAATATGACAAGCAGGTGTTAGAGCAAAATGAATGATTTGAAGTTTATGGGCCATTAGCCGAGTAGCTGTAAAATCCTGCAAAAGCAAAATAGAGGATGAAGGCGAGGAAAGGTTAGTTTCGTTCAATCGTCTGATTTATCCTTGAATTTATCTTCGATTCCATCTACAGATTCAGTAGCAAGCAATCGACATGAATTCATGTCATTCCTTTCATACCAAGCATACCGAATCAACTATCTTTTCAAAGGCAATCTGAGACAATAAACGGTGCTTCCATCATAGTTAATGAAAATATGGTAGAGTTGATATACTCATACACTCAGTGTAACACCATAAACGAATATGAAGACCAAGATCAAGACGAATAACAATTCGCTATCTAGATATCCCAATAAAAACAAGCGTAAAAATGTAGAAATCAAGGTAGAAATAATCTAAAGAATTACTGAATCAGAGCTCGATCAAGCATACACAATTTCCTCATTCACTTCAATGATCTGATCTATTATCAAGCACTTCAGGGAATAAACGGTACCTAACTTTTGATTCTACATTTGAGGAATTGAAAGGCACTCTTGATCCCACAGGGATCAGAAGTGAATAGTCGCACTTTTTCTCAATCGACATATTATAGGCTTTCACTTTTCTATGTCATTTCATGACTTTGAAGGTATTTCGAAGCATTCCAAGGATTTAAGAACATTTCGTGCTAGGTATAGCATTTCATTTTATTTCATGTCATTTCAAATTATTTCAAAGCATTTCAATGCATTTCATTGCATTTCAAGGTATTAAATGCATTTCAAGGAATTTCAAGGCATTTCAAGGAATTTCAAGGCATTTCAAGGAATTTTAAGGTATTTTGAGCGAGATTTCAACGATTTCAAGACTTATCTTGCTATTTCAGATATGGCATTTCACGAGACATTTCATTTTATTCCATAACATTTCAAGGCATTTCATGGCATTTCAAGAAATTTCAAAGTATTTCAAGGATTTCAAGGCATTTAATGGTATTTAATATTATTTCATATCATTTCAAAATATTTCAGAGCATTTCATGGCATTTCAGGGTATTTCATGGCATTTCAAGGAATTTCAAAGCATTGAATGGATTTCAAGTCCTTTCATGGAATTACAGAAATGGCATTTCGTTACCTGCACGCATTTCCTCAGTGGTAAAACCCTCGAAACATATACTATCAATATTATACATAGAAAGTGAATAGTATATACAAATACGCATTGGAAATTGCATGGTCCTAGATGAAAAAAGATACATGAATTCATACTTTTTCTTGATTTAAAGGTCCTAGTGAATTCACAACCATCCTCTCAGAGCCAATCTAACAGAATACCATAATATATAGCCACTGACAAGTGACAATAACTTGAAATGTTAAATTGACGTACCCCGTGTGGCACCATAAACGAACCGCTATCTATCCAAAAAAAGAACCAACTGCGGAAATAATCCCAACAACAGGCACAGACTCAAGCACACACCACATCCAAACCAAGAAGCCCGAGAAACACCGACACTTCAGACTTCAGATAAGTGACCGGGCACGCACTGTAAAAGTTCCTATGGCCGGGTACACGGAGTGCACAGCCTCTCATCGAAAAAAAGTCCCCCGTGCGTCTGAACCGCGGCACGACGTGGATACTATTTTTTCCTCGTGACGGAGGACTCAAGAAGTGGAGAAGAAGAAGACGAGGTCTGTCCTGCACGCACGGCCGCCTATACTGGTCGTGCAAGTCGGAGCTTCGTGGACGACGGTGCCGAGCGGTGAGACTACGTGGGGGCACCAAGCTCATAGGCGGGCAGTGTTGCTCCGCGGAGATGATGCCGAGACCGAGGTTATGCTAGGGTTCGATCGATTGTGACTGTTAATCTTTTCCTTTTCTATATTCCGAATTCAACTGGTCAGTACTGTCAGTAGATCTCCTGACTCTGCTGAAAATCTGTAATCCGAAATATAAAATAAAAAATACGGTGCTGTAATTCGGAACACGTTTTCAGCATCAGAACAGTTTTCACTATCTTTCAAGATCAGTCAATATATCGTCGGGTGCTCCTCAAGGCTGACCTCTAGGTCCCCCACTTTTCGATGTTTATATAAATGACATCTTTGAAAGTTTGAAATTCTCGTATTTCCTTATGTATTTTTTTTATCACTTGGAGCGCACGAAAGGGAATCCCTATAATGTTCAAAGAACATCGTGCGTTCCTAGGGAGGATAGGGACAGGAGGTAGGAATTGGAATTTTTTTCGAACTTTTGGAGATTATATGTTGTTGGGAATACTTCCACAGGCAATGAATTCCAGAGCCTAGCCGTTCTATGGATGAAGTAGTCTTGATAAAGTGCTGTCCGACATCTTTCGAGGTTGACAACGAAAGGATGTGCTGACTGGGCTCATCTAGTTCGTCTGATTGGTATTGCTAGTGAAGGGATGATAGCAGAGATTTCCGAAGAACGGTGTTCCAATGATGTCAAAGAGTGAGTGAGTGTGGCGTCACCCACCAGGCGAATGGCTCTTCTCTGGATGGAATCTAAGAGCATCAGCGTATGTTTTGATGCTGAACCCCATATGTGGGAACAGTATTCTAGAACAGGCCGTATCTGCGCTTTGTAGATCATGAGAAGCTGTTGAGGTGTAAAGTAACTTTTCGCACGGAACAAGAATCCGAGTTTTTGTGAAGCAGCTTTTGCGATGGATCTGACATGATTATCCCATGAAAGAGTGTTGCTGATGGAAATACCGAGCATAGATATGGTGGGCTTGGTGGGGATGGTGGAGCAAGACATTACAATATCGGGCATACTGAGTTCCGCCTTTCTAGAGAAAATGCCGGCTTGAGTTTTGGTGGCGTTGAATTCAACTAGGTTGTTTGTTCCCCAGGCTGTGATTTCGGCAAGATCTTCATTGACAGCATTGACCTGCCTGCGCCGTGAGTTCTTAGTTTGCTGGGAAGAAATGGGAATTCTGGAAGAGAACGCAGTATGGAGGGTACTATCATCTGCAAAGCTGTGGATGGGGCAAGTTGTTACTCCCAACAGATCATTGATATGAAGCAGGAATAATGTTGGTGCCAAAATTGATCCTTGTGGAACGCCGGAATTGATGCCAATAGTATCAGACGATACACTGTCCACCACCACGTGAAGCGATCTGCCTAAAAGAAAACTCGATAAGAGATGGCATAGCTGAGGTGGTAAGCCGTGAGGAGTCCTTCGTGCCAAACACGGTCGAATGCTTTCGATATGTCCAACGCGACAGCTAGGGATTCCCCGTGTTTTTCTATTGCAGATTGCCATAAATGGGTGAAGTAGGCAAGTTGATCTCCAGTAGATCTTCGGTGGCGAAAGCCGTATTGTCTATCATTGATGATTCCTGAGCTCTCCAGATATTTGATAAGCTTAATATTGATGGCTTTCTCCATCACTTTGGAGATTACTGATGATAACAGGGCAATGGGCCTGTAGTTGTTGGGCAGGTTCTTGTATGCTGATGATCTTAAAGTATTTCATACAGTTTCACACTTGAATGATTGTATGCTCATTCAAGAGGACCCTGATCGCTTCTTAGAGTACTGCAGAAATAACTCCCTCTTCCTGAATCTCAACAAATACCATCAAATGATTTTTATTACAAACTCTAATTTAATTACTCATAACTATACCATGCAGGATCATTATCTCCACATCTGTATTGAAGTGAAAGTTTTGGGAAATATTTTTGATTCAAAAATAAATATATTTCTTACATTTCTAAGAAAGCGAACAGAATGGTAGGTTTCATTTTGAGAACAACTTATCCTTTCAAAGATTATAATACCTTGCGTACTCTTTTCATTTCATAGGTGAATAGTCTGCTAGGCTTCGGCTCAACGATTTGGAATCCCAATAATATAATATAATATACACGAAACAATAGAGGGTATTTGAAACAAATTAATTGCTTACATCAACTAAAAATATTTCAAGAACACGCCACAAAATCACTTCGTAATTCAAAAACTTAATTTGATTAGTCTTGCTGACAGAAGAGCTATCACCGATATCAAATTCTCTTTCGAAATTATAAATGGAATCATTCATTCATCTAAAATAATATATCGAAGACTGGAACCTTTGGCACGATAATACACTACACTGTTTTACCACTAACCAAACCGATTTTTTAACGCCTCGACACGTGTTTCGCTAACTATGTTAGCATCTTCAGGAGAAGATTAAAACTAAATATCCTATTCTAGTGTGTTGCTTATATACTAGGTATATGTTAACCCAACTGTGGAAAATACTAACCGTCAAGTTAATGTTTGTCATGGTTGAGTTCAACATGTGAACATATACAATGAAAATGAATGCTATCGCCCGTATGGTACCAACCTGGATATGGTCTAGAGATGGTCGATGGAATATCTTTTCATTTCGAATTTGAAAAAATCCAGACTGAATTCGAAATAATTCAGGTCATTACAGGTGCTGTTGAATATTCTGAGCATCCTACATGATGGTGAATCCTGGGTATCGTTTGTTTTTTTGAAAGAAATATTGGAAATTTCTAGGCGTCTAAGTAATCTACTTTGAACATTGAATTCAATTTTCGAAACCAAGTTTGGACTCTGCGCTAGTTCTTTCATTAGTTTGAAAATTGTTAATAGATCTGTAACATTTCTTCTATCTTTGAGAGCTAACATGTCTATGCCTGATATATAACAATGTCTGGTGCCACCATTTCCACCAAGCCCACTGCTCGGTATTTCCATCAGCAATACTCTTTCATCGGGGAAAGCTGCTTCACAAAAACTCGGATTTTTATTCTATGCGAACATCTATTTCACACCTCAACAGCTTCTCATGATCTACAAAGCACAGATACGGCCACTTTTAGAATACTGTTCTCACATAATATGGGGTTCAGAAACCGAAACATACGCTGATGCTCTTAGATATCATTCAAAGAAGAAAAGAAAAGTCGGCGACCTGCAGACCTTCCACTTTTCTATAGAGATCCTGACAACCTTGAAATATGTCGAACAACACTTTATCATTACTCGTTCCATTCGTCTATAGGACGCTGAAGGAAATAATCTCTGAAACGTATATAACCTCCAAAAGTTGAAAAACTAACTCCTACTTCTTCTACCAATCTTCCTTAGGTACGCACGATGTTCTTCGAACATCATATAGGAATTTCCATTCGTGCGCTCCAAGAGATGAAAAAAAGTATCACGCTGTATGCGCCTGCAAGCATGCATGTCTTCGGCGCACCCTGTAAGCAAGAGGCTCGCACGTCGACCAACGAAAGTGATTCATTACCGTCGATAACGAATGTCGTAACGAGTTCCAGAAATCGAAGCCGAAACACTGAAACGATACTCTGTCTAGGCAGACCGCCGAACACATCCGAAGTTTAAGGACCCACCAACGGCGTGTCAAAGACCGGAACAAGTCCCGTTGTAGTCCAATCAACAGAACTCCAAAATACATAAATACATACACTGTGTCCATAAAGTCACCCCCCCCCCCCTGGTTAACTTTCTAGAACGGATGGGATTTTTTTTTTTTCAATTTTTTCCTGCTTCAATGATAGTTTCAGTGCTACATATTGTTCCAAAAAAAAAATATGTATGAAGATTTTTTTAAATGGAGTGGGGGGTCGAAAGATACCTCGATTGAAAGGTCTTTCGATTCTCTATACAACCTCAGAATCTCAGACGAAAATATTCATCCAAAACAAAATGGCGGATGATAACATTTGAAATCTCACACCAGAATTCTTTCGACTAGATGGCTATTAAAGTGCTCGCATGTGATCTTCAAATCTCTATTGGCGTATAGAAGAGTTCTCTATCTATGAAGATATCAATAGGAAGCCATTTTGAAGAGAAATTCAATTATCTATCAGAAATTTATTGAAAAATATCAACAACCTACTCACACCATTTCTGTTTTATATCGTAAGTATACCTAGATGATTGTTGTTATTTGGTCCGATGGTCAAGTTAAGGTAAAAATATGGTGAAAATATGACGATACCAGCGCCTCTTGCGGATTTTCTATGAACAAGAACCTTATAAGTGTCATCAGTTTTTTTCGTAGAACTCCACGCTTCCCCTGTTGATAGGAGCACGGGCCGCCACTGGTGATAATAAGGTCGGAAAATTTCATGAGGATAATAGATCAAATATTATTTATTTCAATGATTGTTGAAGTATATCCACCTATGAGAAAATTCATACAGTATTACTACAGATTGAAACAAAAATAAATTGATGTATGTACACGTGTAAAAATATATTGATACTAGCGCTCCTTCGATGCTCTTCGTCCACAGCCTACAAATAGTAGCTTCCCAGCGCTGGTACGACCGTACAACAACGTCACCAGGGTCACTTTTCAATACACCAAATATTACGCATATCGATGTGTGTTGTCGTATTCAACTCTCAGATGGGAAAAACAAAGAACTGCTTTTCATCCTGAATACACTGTTTTATCCATTCCAGGAAAATCACCAATAGGTCTAGGCTGTGTAGTACATCATTGTGGTATAAAAAAGCATACACGATAGCTATATGCCACCACTGAAAGAAATTTTATTTCTGATCAAATAAGCCTACTGCAAACATCCTCACTGCGAAAGCTGTCATGAATACAACGATTGTCTGGAGTCATCAGTATTCAGATTCAATTAAAACAAATAAAAGTTGTTTCGGCTACATACTA